CTAGACTGCGATACAAAGTGGGATCATGGAAAAGAGGACCATCCGTAACACTGAGTTTGGCATTGAGGTCGACTGGTGTGGTACACGGTTTGCAAGAGGACATAGAAGCGCGAGAAATTATGTCCTTTGCATATTGAGATTGATCTAGGAATAAACCATTGGAATTATGGGTGACCTTAATCYCCAAAAAGTGATGTAATTTACCTAGATCAGTCATGGCAAACTCTCGTGAGAGCATCCGAATAATGTTTTGTAGCAGATCATCAGAAGATGCCGTAAGAACTATGTCATCTACATATAATAATAAATACGCCATCTGAGTGCCCTGTGTATAGATGAACAAAGAATTATCACACACACTGCTCCGAAAACCGTGTGATAATATATGGTTAGCAAACYGTGTGTACCAAGCACGAGGTGCTTGTTTGAGCCCATAGAGAGATTTCTTTAGCTTGCACACAAAATTAGRAAACTGACGATGCACAAAACCTGGTGGTTGCTGCATATACACAGTTTCGTTCAAATGGCCATGTAAAAAGGCATTCTTAACATCCAATTGATGGAGAGGCCACGAACGAGAAACAGCCACCGAAAGAACGGTACGTATCGTAGCCGGTTTGACAACTGGGCTAAAGGTATCTTCACAATCAATTCCCACTGTCTGAGATTTTCCATTGACCACTAACCAAGCTTTGTATCGTTCCAAAGAACCATCCGATTTAAACTTATGCCGGAACAGCCACATACAACGGATGACTGGTCTATCAACTGGTCGAGGGACTAATTCCCATGTATCATTCWCCTGCAAGGCACTAAACTCGGTCTGCATGGCACGTAACCAATGAGGGTCAGCAAAGGCTTTATGGTAGGAGGTAGGCACGGGTGAAATAGTAGTGGAAAGGAGAATGTGTTGGGCTTTGGAGCGGGTGGTCATGGGGTGGGTGTTTGTGGGAGATGAGTAGGGTGTGGGGGGGCTGTTCGGGCAGCAGATGGCTGACCCGTGACGGCTGTGGCATCAGAAGAATGTGGCGGATCTGCTGTAGCAGCAGACCGTGGGTGAGGGGGGGACGAGGCGGCAGTTGCAGCAGGTCTGGGTCGTCTAGTATAGTGGAAAGGAAAGGGTGACGTGGAGTGAAACAGTGGTGTGGGCAGTGGTGAGGGCCGAGGGGCAAAYGCGAATCCAGGTGGTGAGTCGTCATCCAGGAAGGAGTATGAAGAGGTAGGGGTGGGTATGGAATAGGGAAAAACAGTCTCGTCAAAGGTGACATGACGAGAGATGGAAACCTTCCCGGTGGTAGGATCGAAGCAACGGTATCCCCGAAAATCTGGTGGGTACCCGAGAAAGATGCATCGGATGGCACGAGGGTGAAGTTTGTGAGGTTGAGTGGCAGAGGTATTAGGATAGCAGGCACATCCAAACACACGAAGATGATCGTATGTGGGGTGACGCAGGTAAAGGGCGAAGGTTGGAGTAAAGCAATTAAGGCGTTTGGAAGGTAGTATGTTGTGGAGATAGGTGGCTGTGTGGAGGGCCTCAACCCAGAAAGTGGGGGGGAGATGGGCGTGAATGAGTAGGGAACRAACGATGTCGTTCAGACGACGAATCATTCTTTCGGAGCGGCCATTTTGGGAAGAAGTTTGTGGGCAAGAAAAACGAAACAAAAGGCCATGTTGTTGGGTAAAACTTTTGAAAGCRTGGTTATCGAACTCACCCCCCAGATCGCATTGGAAAGTTTTTATGTTATGGTGGAACTRGGTGGCTATCATACGGTGGAATTTGGCAAAGGTGGGGAATGTTTCGGATTTATATTTAAGTGGATAGAC